TGTAATATTATATCCTACATATAAATTATAATATTGTTTACATCAGTGCGACTATTCCGTGTCATGTTGTGAGCCAGCAGTAGGATGTCCCTCCACCCTTCACCCCGATAGGACTATCAGGATATTTCATATCCAGGCAAAATACGGAGCCTAGCGAAAGGACATACTAATTCAGACTTTTCATTTTAAAAAAATGATTTTCTTCTTTTCAGCTATGTGGATATTACTATTAGCGGTGTGTGTGCCGATTGCTATATCCATCTTAAATAAAAGTCAGAGAGAGAGAGAGAGAGAGAGAGTTTTTTTGGCACTTACAGTGCAACAGTGTAAAAAGGTCACATAAGTGTGGAAGATTGGAGGTGTTACAAGAAAGTAACGTACACATTCACACAAAAAGGAGGAGAAATAAAGACGACATACGTTTAATAGGAAAGAAGGAGCAAACCACACCACAACACCCACCAACCACCCACCTGAAGATTTTAATTACTACTTTACTAATGATAGTTGCTTCTACATCAGAGGTCTCAAACTCACGGCTGGGGGGCTCTCGTGGTCTGGAGGTAAAGGTGTTCCCCTCTCATTCGATAGATCCCGGGGTCGAATCCGGATGGCGACGCAGCATTTTCTCATCTTTAATGTTCTCCTTTCACACCCTTTCCTGCTCTCTAACAATGTTCTGTCGTCTGTTTTCGTCTCCACTTTCTGTCGTGCCCCCCTCACCTCCTTTGCCACCTCATCGGAGCTTCTGATTCTTTCTGCAGCCTTTCTACTGCTACTCCGTGGCTCCTACTTACTGCTGTCTTCCAGCCACATGCCCCATCTTATGGTTGGTAAGATCTACACCTTGCCTTCTCGGAAAGGGACGAAAAATCTCGGAAGTATCGTGTGCAAGTTGCGCACGTTTAAGATTTCTTACTTACTTTACTTTTACCTTTCCATCCTCTGTCTAGGAGAGATGCAGTTTTCTATGGTAGGCCAGCTCCGCAGTTCTTTCAGTTGTGATATTATGTTTGTTCAGGGTTTCCTTGACACCCACCTTTTGCGTGGCCTTGCTCTTCCTTTATAGCTTGGGTGCTTGGTGTTGTTGGCTCTCGAGGCTGGCTGGCCAGGTGACATACCTGGTGATTCCTTTGTGGTCCAAAATCGAGTAGAGTAGGCTTCGGCTGCCAACAGTGAAAAATTCAAAATTTCCTACCTACTGAAAATATTTAACGTGTACCCCACGCTCAACCTTTTGGAGATGCAAGCACAGTAAAATGACAGATTTAGTATTTTCAGTTTGGTGGGGATTTCTTTCGAATTTTGATGGGGTGGCGGCCGAAGTCTACTTTTATCAATTTTAGGACCGCCAAGGGACCTTTAACGAGCGCAACTAGCACCTGGAAACTGCGATAGTTTTTTTTTCCCTTAACCCAAAAGGTTAGGTGTAAGATCTTACCTACCCTATTAAGATCAAAGATGTGGTTAAAATAAAGCAGTAAGAAGGAGCCAAGGAGCAGAAATAGAAAGGCAGCAGAAAGAGTAAACAGAAAGAGTAAGGAGTCCAGAAAGGGGGTAGGCAAAAAGTGTAGACGAAAGCAGACGACAGAACATGGTTAGAGCGCTGAAAGGGGAGGTGAAAATAGAAGAAACAAATTTAGAAAAGAAAACTTTCCACCGCTGTCAGGTTTCGAACCCGAAACCTATTGAATGAGAGACGAACACCGTACCTCTAGACAACGAGAAACCCCAGTTATTGAAGAAGAAGAAGAAGAAGAAGAAGAAGAAGAAGAAGAAGAAGAAGAAGAAGAAGAAGAAGAAGAAGAAGAAGAAGAAGAAGAAGAAG